GTGGCAGAATGGTCTTGTACTTTGGTGCCTAATTATTGCAATACCGCGTGGCGATCATGGTCTTGAGACTCAATATTTGGGAAATTTTCACTTGAACCTTTTTCGAATCATATTCACTGATATTGAAGCTCTCAGCCTTCCTTTGTAGGCTACAGACAGTAATGTCATCAGAGGTGTGGTTCAGATCCCACTAGATCTAGATTTGAGTCAGAATAATTCAAATAATCATTAAAAATTCAAAATTTTGTGACCAAAAATTGATGCAATTTGCAATTCTTATCATTAATTTAGTTCCTTTGTGAGCCTTATTAATTCAAAACTTAAACTTAATTAATGTAAATTCAAATCAAGACCATTTGTTGCTGTTCTTGACATAAACTTACTTTTCCTCTTGTTTTTGTTTCTCATTCTTGTCAAGGAAGACAAAACATTGTAAGTAGATTATGAGATTGTCACTTAAGAATCAAGTTAATTGGTGTAATGTCGAGTCTGATTATGCTTAATTACTGTCAAGAATCTCCTTGGATTGGGAAAATTGTGAGCTTTTGGATTATGGTATTTTGGTTTGCGGTTGTAATGGTTGTGAAATTGAAGGTTGCTGGATTTTTGGTGTTTTGTGATTTAGCAAAGGTTCTTGATACAAAAATTTTCAATTTTAACCTCAAAATTTCAATATTTTAAGATTTTAACCTCAAAAGCAAAGAACTTTGAAATTCAAATCTTATAAATTTTGAAACTCTACCTTAAAAGTAAGGAATTTTGAAATTCTAACCTCAACAAAAGAATCTTGAAATTCTAACCTAAAAAGTAAGGAATTTTGAAATTCCAACCTCAAACGTAAAAAAATATTGAAATTCTAACCTCAAAATCAAGTTTTTTTGAAATTTTAACCTCAAACGTAAAAAATATTGAAATTCATACCTCAAAATCAAAAATTTTCGAAGATTTAACCTCAAAAATAAAAAACTTTGATATTTTAACCTCAAAATTTAAGAATTTTATGGTTTCAACCTAAAAAAGAGTATTTAAATTCAACATTACTTTTGGACACCTTTAATTTCTATATTTTCCCACTTCGAAAGCTCGTCGTCTCAATTTTTTTATTTTTACCTCACTTCAGTAACAAGCATTAATCTTAAATTACGCAGGCACCATATGAGCATCATGTCTTCTTCTTAAATTCCGTTCGTGCTTCCTCAATTCTGTTTTATGATCCTCAAGAATGAAAATATTTTTTTTTTTTTGCTTAAACAATTCTGAGAACTTTTTTTCTTCTCGTTATTTGTAACAAATTCTTTTGGTGGTTACACGTGCCTGCAATATTTTATTTATTTAAGGTTGACTTTTGCTCCTTTTGTTGTTGTTGTGTGGGAGCATTTTGATGAATTTCATTGTTATGTTGTGAATTATATTGTGTTTTTTTGGAAAAGGATTTTGTATGATTGAAAACTTTTTGTTATTTTGACATTTAAAATGTGACTTCAATGGTGCAGAGGCGTTATTTTGTTTAGCTTTAAAGTTGTTTCTTAGTAGACAACATATCAGTTTCTTGCTAGAATGTTTTTCTTTAAAGCGTCACGTGGCTTAAATTGTTGATTTGGCTAAGTCAGAAGCCAAGTAAAATCTTTGTGGATTGAAAAGATTATTTACTGAACTCTTAACTTCAAGTATGTAATTTTAACCTTAAAATTGAAAATTCTTACCAAAAATGCTAACAAAATCTTTAAATTTTCAAAAACCTAACCTCAAAATTAAAGTTTTAACCTCAAAATTAAAGGAATCCATTTTGAAATCCTAACCTCAATTTTGTTAATCGAACTTCAATAACGTATCGTTAACCTGAATTTTTTTTAAATTCTTTTCAAATTTTTATAAATTCTAACTTCAAAAATATGAAATTATAACCTCAAATTCGTGATAACCTCAAATTATTGATCTCAATTACTTTTAATTAAATAAAATGTTGTCATATCCAACTAAACTCATCTCCAAAATATTCAGCACATACCACACAATTTTATCTAATTAGCAGAACAGCTCACCCACATGGAATTAATTTCAATTGCTGAATTAAATTTAGTAAAATTTTTTTGTTCATTTTGCACTTTTTTTTTGGTCAAAAAAAGGTCGCAAAATTCTTAGAACAAAAAATGCCACGACTACTTTGCATAACATGTCCGTTCTTTGAAAGGGCATGAATTTAAATTTTTTTAAAAGAATTAAAAAGGAAGCTTGTTGAACCCACAAGCACCTTTTAGGATTTGTTTGAATTTAAATACGTTGTTTTTTTTTTTTGGTAAAGAAAAGTTCAAACTTTTTTTTGTCCATTTTGATTACTGCTCATTTTTTTTTGTTTGGAAATAAATTTCATGTTGACCACATCGGCATGATCAAGCTGTACACATTACAACTAAGAACAAGTTTAAGTGCGTGTGGGTTTACTGAATAGATTTTCAAACTTCGTTGTAAGTAATAAACTCCTTTTATTTAATTCATTGATATAAGGCGGAACAAAAAATATAAACTTCGTTGAATTTGTGTAGAATGACCAAAAATGTCTCATTTGGTGAACATTGAAGGGGGTTGGGTATTTATAGATGGGACTAAAGTGCATTAAATCATAAATACAATAAAAATTCTTGAATCAACACAAAAGCTCCGCAACTCAACATGAAACAATCAAAAATGCTAGAAAATTTTCACTCGACTCAAAAAAATAAAATTTTAAAATAATGACGAAGCTTTAAAGTTTTAAGACTCAAAACAGCTGTATCAGCATCAGCGGTTTCACATCAAACATAAATTCGAATTAATCTGTTTGAAGAATGAGAAAATTAAGAGTTTTAAAATGTTTTTAGACAGAAGGTGTATCTAGGGTTGATTATTTAGGTACGGGAATGGTGAGGCATTGCACAGGTACACTACAGGTTGAGTACAGCGATACAATTGATATGGTAAAGGATTGTGCAACTGTAAATAAGTTTACTATTGTAGAACTTCTATTATTACCATGAAAATGACTCAACAGCATCGTGCTGAACTTTACCAAATCAGCACTGAAGAAATCGGCCCTAAAATACCTCTTCTGTCCTATCTTAGCTCTTTTAAATGAATTTTCAATCAAAAGCTAAAATTCATGTAGAATCAAAAATTAAAAACACATTTAACATCAGTCTTTAAGTAATTTCATGCCATAAAGCACACCAAAGAATGACAAAAATTTCCATAAAACCTCAAAATGTGTCAAAAAATGCACGAAAATTGACTTTTAAGTAGAATAATTGAAAATAAATAAAATACGACATTTCTATGATAAACCGAGAAAATTCTGGAAAAATCGCTTTTAAAATGGAAATGAAATGAAAACAAAAATTGGGGAAACTAGTAAAAAGATCGCCAGTACTTTGGATCTGGGCGACTTCAGCGTATTTTCCTCTTACTGATCAGTAAACTTAGTTGTAACTCAAAATCGTTTGAGGGCCTTAATTTTTCGTACCAGATCTTTAATAGTTCGTTCCAGATTTTTATTTTAAAGATCTGGTAGCATTTAAAACATGTCCCGTATCAAAAACATAAATTCAGTAGCTCTACAGTCATAGTCAACCCCTAAAACAAAGATCCAGTAGCTTTACATTCACATCCATCATTAAAAATAAAGAACTAGTAACTCTAATGTCATATCCAACACCAAAAACTAGGATCCAGTAACTCAAAACTCATATCCAACACCATCAACAAAGATCCCATAACTTCAATGTCATGTCTAACACCAAAAACAAAGATCCAGTAACTCTAATGTCATATCCAACACCAATAACAAAGATACAGTAACTCTAGAGTCATATCCAATCCCAAAAACTAAGATCCAGTAACTCAAAACTCATTTCCAATCCCAAAAACTAAGATCCAGTAACTCTAAACTCATATTCAACACCATCAACAAAGATCCAGTAACTCTAATGTCATATCCAACACCTATAACTAAGATCCAGTAACTCAAAACTCATATCCAACACCATCAACAAAGATCCCGTAACTTCAATGTCATGTCTAACACCAAAAACAAAGATCCAGTAACTCTAATGTCATATCCAACACCAATAACAAAGATACAGTAACTCTAGAGTCATATCCAATCCCAAAAACTAAGATCCAGTAACTCAAAACTCATTTCCAATCCCAAAAACTAAGATCCAGTAACTTAAAACTCATATCCAACACCATTAACAAAGATCCAGTTACTCTAATGTCATATCCAACACCAAAAACAAAGATCCAGTAGCTCTTTAGTCATATCCAACACCAAAAACAAAGATCCAGTAACTCTAATGTCATATCCAACACCAATAACAAAGATACAGTAACTCTAAAGTCATATCCAATCCCAAAAACGAAGATCCAGAAACTCTAAAACTAAAATCCAGTTACGTTACATGAAGCAACGTTCAAAATTTTAACGGCTATTTTGAAATTTGAAATTGTTTTATCAAACTCGTATGTTATGCAAAAGTCGGCTAAGTCGTTGCAAAAAACATATAAAAGTTAATTTAATTAAGTTTTGGTAAGAAGTTATGAAACATAAAGCGGATTCGGTTTGCCTACAATATGGCAAGGATTGAATGCAAAAAATCCGAAGGCTCTATATGCTTTCATTGCTGAGATCTCACGGTACCAGCCAGCCAGCCAGCCAGCCAGCCAAAGTGAAGATAAAAGCGTATTGTTCCTTAGGAAAATACGCTAAAAATCAGCAATGAATAAAAAAGTGGATTTTCTCAGAAAAAGACACAAAAACTAAATGAATTAGAATATTTAAATGCTTAGAAAATGTAAATTTCAACCTTTTTGATCTTTAAGTAATTCTGTGAAGTCATGTAAGAATGAATATCAAGCTGACATAGAAATCCAGCTTAGAAATGAAAGCCACTGATGATCCCTAAGTCAAAACAAACTTTAAAGCTCGTCAAAAGTTTGAAATCAAAAAAAAATTCTAACCTCAAAAAATTTTGTCCATACAGAATTATTTTGGAATTTTTATAATTTCCACAAAACTATGAAGCGCTCAGGAATGAAAATGTGAAATAAACTGCTTAGTTAATCTGATTACAAGGATTAAATCAGAAATAATTGTGAAAAAAAAATTGTGTAAAAAAAAGTTGAAAAAGCTCGTCAAAAAAGTCTCGAAAAAACTGAAATTTAAATTAGTTTTGTGAAATTTACTGAACAAGAATCGACAAAAATTGATAATTCGTAGAGCAAAAAAATTGTAAAAAAAAGTCAAAATTTATGTCCAAAGTCAATTATTTGGACAAAATCTTATCATCTTATCGTCATTATCCATTAAATATCATCTAACCTAGTAGACAAATTTAACATAATCTTCAATAAAAATCAACATAACCTAAAAAAAAAGTCAACATAACCTTCAAAATCTCACCATAACCTAAAAATCTCACCATAAGATAAAAATCTCTGCAAAACAAAAAAAAAACTTTAACATAACCTAGAAAAAAATTCAAAACATAACCTACAAAAATTCAACAAAAACTTGAGAGCAACATAACCTAAAAAAAAGAAAAATCTTCAAAAAAAAGGTTCACCAAAAGTCTCTAAAATACTCAAGTTCAAGTACGACAGCCAATCCCAAAACCACTCCGAAATGGATCCACAACAACATTCCGAACATTCATCCGCGCACTCATCGCCGATCCACCTTCAAAAAATGCAATTCAAGCTCCAACAACGTCTCAACGAAAATGCACAGATGCAACAACAACTTCATCAGCAACAACAACTCCATCAACAGCAATTGCAACAACAACAAATGTCAAATCCACCACAAGCAATGTCACCGTTAATGGTTCGTAAAATTGGCACAAAAGCAGCATCGGCAATTGACCTTAGTAACGGTCAACAACCTTATGACATGTCAACACAATTACAACATCAACAGAATGTCCAACAAATGCCCCCAAATCCACAACATTCACTCATGCTTCATCAGCAACAGAAATTTCCACATCAAAATCATCCAATTGAGCAGCAAATTTTCCAACAATTTCATCAAAAAGCGATGCTTAATCAATTGATGAAGATTCAAGGCAATAACGCATCGTTGGCTGACTTTCGATCGATTGTACATAATCAGCCACAGGTTGATGACATGCTGGCTAGTAAAGATCAAATTCATGCAATTGTGAATGCCCAAAAGCACTCTGACTACATTGTTGAGGATTATATGGAGAAAATACAGACGAGAATTGCTTTATTGGAAACGGAATTAAAGTTTGCTGACAGGAAGTTGCATGTGCTGTATGGCGAATATAATGAAATGCTTGCTAAGATTGATAAATTAGAGAATTTAACGATTGCACAGCAACAAGTTCTTGGGAATCTTCTGGATCTTTGTAATAATCAGACTCAGGAAGTTACAGCTGCTAAGAATATTCAAGCAAAGGCAGCACAGCTATTTGGCATCGATCCACAGTCAATAATGACAATGAGTCAGCTAGAAAATTTCCAAGAACCATTTCAACAAGATGCTGTAGACAGCACAGCAACAGAGTTCAATGAACTACTTGAAGATCTCAAAAATGAAGCTATTATTGATGGACTTAGAGGTGGTAAAGTGATTGCACCTCTTCCATTTGCTCAACAACAGCAGCAACAGCAACAACAGTTTCAGCAACAACAACAAGCTTTTCAGCAACATCAACAACAATTTCAAAATGATTACGAAGGTGATGCTGATTATGAAGCATTAATAGCGATGATTAATAAGCAGATGAAGTTCCAACCAACATTTAACTTCCTACAAAGGAACGAACAGGCACAGGAATTTCTAAAATCACAAGAAGCTTTAAAGCAACACATTTTACAGCAACAAAATGCAATGGAATTAATGAAGAATCTGAATGAAGCACAAATGAACATGGAGATGGAGTTTTTTCGCAGTGGCGAGGTCAACAAAAGCCTTTTTGATGCGGTAGCAATGCAACAGCAACCGCTGGACATGATCTATGAGGATAATGAGGACAAAGAGGGAAATGGAAAAGAGATCTCGCCAATTAATGACAAGAATGAGCAACATAAGAGAGATGATTCAGCCGGTGCATCAAGTCATGATGAAAAGTCGACAGGATCGTCGACTAGAAAGTCAAAGACGAAGAAGAAGAAGCACCATCAACAGCTACAACTACAACAATTTCAGTTACAAAGTGACGATCAACTTATTCATGAAATTATCGAGGAAATTTTAAAATTAGAAAATTTGACAAATTTATTAAATAAAAATCAGCACGATGAGCTGAAAAATTGGATAAAAAATGAGATTAAAATTTTTCATAACCTCAAAAAATTGGATATGAATTTTGTGACACTTTTGGTGAGTCCAGTCACACATCCGAGTCCAAATTCATCAATGTCACTAGAAGAAGAAGATCAAAGATTTGAAATTTTAATGAAAAAAATCCGCAAAAATTTAGAAATTTTGAAGAAAATTGAACCGACAGCAAGTGAAGCTGTTGAGCAGCCAAAAGACACATTGACATCTTCAAAGTCTTCAATCTACAATGACGATGAGTACCTGCAATCATTAAGAAAGTCCCTGGATCGACACAATTCAATGCAACTCCTCCTGCACATGCAAAATCCAAATCTTCAGTCATCGACAAGTAAATCAGTTCTCAATTCGTGTGATTTTTTATCGGATGAACAGCTGGATGGTGATGGCTCGTCCAGTCCGCCTCCACCAGCTCCTAATGGTGATGTCTATTATCCAACGGAAGACATCTATGCAGCTGCAAGTCATTTAGAACAAGAATGGAATCCATTTCATGTTGACATCTTAATGATGAAGGAACAACAGACACAACAGCAACGGAAGGCTGATTATGGAGCATCGTTGTCTCCATATCGAAAACAGTCGTCTCCAAAAAACGCGAAAAGTGACTCCGGACTGTCCTCAATGTCCGGTTTTTCAAGTTTTGAAAAGTCACCAAATTCACCATCGTATTCACTTCCTTATGACCATGCGACAGTCACTTTTCGTGGAAATATTCGGTCACAAGATTATTTAAAGCTACTTAATTCATATCAACAGATGAAAGCAGCTGGAACGGCAGCAGATGTTCAAGTTACATCACCATTTCTATTCTCGGATGTTGCAAATCCGACAGTTACTGAACCACAAGTTCCAAATAAACAGCCTGCAACATCTGATGGGATTTTTGGGGAAGAGAATCTCAATTATATTAAGGAATTGTCACAGAATGTCCCAATTTGTTCAATTTATGAGAATAAATCGATTTTTGATAATGTTAGTGTAATTAAGCCTGCATCAGCATGGGAAGTTTATGTCAAGAATCAAAATCAACAAGTTGAGGAGCAACCGATGAAAGCATATCCAGATTTAATAGCTAATCAGGAAGTCAACGGAAGTTCTAGTACCAAAAAGACACAACAAAATCATCAAGAGCAAGATGCATTGAGGAATATCCAACAACAGCAACAACTAGAAGCTCTTATGGAACAAAGAAGAAAGCTTGACGCTCAAAAACTTCAACTTAAACAGGAACAACAAGCACTGCTACAAAAAACAAAACAACGACAACAACAACAGCCTTCAAAATCATCACAACGACAACTGACTGATCATTTAGTTTATTATCCATCACAACAATCAATAACTGACTATAATTCATCTATGAATCTTGAATATCAAAGGGAATATCCACCAGCAAGAGAACCTCAACATCATCAAAACCTCCAACATGATGAATTTATGCAGCATGCTCATGCACAACAGCAGGTTCATTTGCAACATCTCCAACAAAGACAAATGCAGCAACAGCAACAACAAATGCAAGGAACAAATGAAAAGATTAAGGATAAGAAGCATCACGCATATCTGAATAAAATGCACAATTGGTTACCGGATATAAAACTTAAAAAGATGTCTAAGAGACATCGAAGTAACTCTTTGCCTGGACAAGTCGATAATGAAGAGTATTTTGAGAATCAAAGCTATAAAATGAATCTCAAACAGCAACAGCAACAACAGCAACAACAGCCACATCCAAAACATGGCAAAAAAGGTGACATTTATGTCATGAAGAACTACATGAAAGGCAAAAAGAAGGAAATAGTTCGAGCAATGTCCAGTGTCGTTCATAAAGCACAAAAGTCAGTTCGTCGTCACAGTTTCAGTCATCATCACTTGTCAGATGATGAGAATCTCCCGCCAGAAGCACATAAAAGTCGACAATCGCCAAAATTCCAGCAAGTTCGTGCAACACGTTCATTGTCTGCAGCACCATCATCTAAAGGACGTAGCTACTCAGACACCGAGACAGACATAAGTTCCATGTTCTCAGACAGTGAGGATCACTCGGGTGCACCAGTTTTTGCTACAATGGCCGACTCTATGACAAAACATTCTGATGCTGGTGATTCTGATGGTAAAAATTCGAGTGGTGATAAAGCGGTTAGTGACTCATCGACAGGTAGTAAGATGAAGCAGCCGCAAGAAGCCAACGGCGATCAATCGGGTCAATTTAATCTGAATTTTCCCAGCACCAGTATGGAATTTGCAGCGAGTCGGAAAGTAGGAATTTTAAGGAAAAAGTCATCGAATGCTGATGGAAATGACGAGACAGTCAGTCCAACAGGAAATGAGAGTCCATTTGAGGGTGTTTTTGAAAAGTCAAAAAAGCCACCGCCAATTGGAAGTAAGGAGCATCACATGCTGACAAAGACACATTCAATTTTTGTGGATTCAATTGATGATAATGATGAGAAGAAGCCAGTTCCACTGCCAAGACATGACAGTAATGATTCACAGCCACAAAGTGCTAGTAAACCGATTCCTAGTCCGAGATTTGAGCATTCAAGGTCGAATAGTATTAAAGCTAGTCTTGAAGTACCTGGTGGACGTGATGAGGATGATAGTAAGTCACAAAACTCCTTTCGGACGTCAATATCGTCAAGAAGACAGAGCACAGAAGACTCAATTGACACTGACGATGAATATTTCTATTATGAAATGAGAAACCTTGAGGAACTTGAAAGGAACAGCCACATGGAGTCTATATTACAAGATAATAAGAATCAGCTAATCAGCAACATTATGCAACTTGATAAAAACTTAGCAGAACCTGACGAGGATGTTAAGAAGAACATGTCAAATGTCTTGTCAGAGCTGAAAGCTAAGGTTAAGCTCCGAGAGCCAGTCGACAACCAGAACAACAATACAAATGGAAACAGCAACAACAGCAAAAAGAAAACAACCAACAACAATAGCAACATTTACGATAAATTCAATTTCTCAACAAACATCAATGACATGCCATGGAACCGCGACTCAGATGAAGAATATAACGAAGATGCCAATTATATGAATCAATTGAATCAATTCGAGTCAGAAATCCGCGATTCAAGCTACGGAAAAGTGAAAAAGAAACGAAAGAAATCAAAGCAACGCGAGCGCTATGAAAAGTCCTCGTCGTCGTCCGCAGACGATGAGGACGATAAGTCAATTGCGAGTCCACAGCAACCACAACATGACGATTTTCATCTTGGTGTTGATAAATTTGAACGTCCACATTCGCAATCGTCTGGCGTAACAAGTGGACCCGACTCGCCAATTGCAAGCGATGAGGAACTTGAAACTCATTTTGATGATGGACATGATGATGACAATGACAATGATAATGATGATGATAATGGACATAATAATGACGATAAATTAATTGTCGCTGAAAATTACGAGGATTTTAAACAGCGACAAAAAAACGAGCGGCTCCTCGAGCATTCACAGCAGCCGCCTCAACATCCGAATGATGATCGAGGAGCGAATGATGGGAAAGTTCAGTCCGGGAACGCTGCTGCCGAGAATGAACTAAAAAATATTGTGGAATTAGAAGGTGGGAAGAAGACAATTGGTGGGATGAAGAAGTTAATGCAATTGTCGTCAACAATGTCGACAGACTCAACAAATCAAGATAGTGGAATAAGTGATACGAGTGGTGGACCGGCTGGAAGTAGTAAATGGAAATTATTAAAGACCTTAAAGGAACGGAAGGAAATGAACAATCAAGTAAAGATTAAGGAAGAAGAGGAGGTCGGAAAGGAGAAGCCGGTAAGAGAAATAAAATGATCAACGATGAGTAAAAAGTGCAAGTTTAAATAAAAGAAATTGAGTAATAAATAATAATTTTTAAAGGGTTTGAGATGAAACACGTTTTGATATACGATATTGCAGGGGTTGGCACTTCAGCTAAGGTTTTAGAACTAAGGTTTTAAAATCTAGGTTTTAGATTTAAGGTTTTGAAATCTAGGTTTTAGAACTAAGGTTTTAGAGCTAAGGTTTTAGAACTAAGGTTTTAAACCTAAGGTTTTAGAACTAAAGTTTTAGAACTTAGGTTTTAGAACTAAAGTTTTAGAACTAAGGTTTTAGAACTAAGATTTTAAAACTAAGGTGTTAGTACTAAGATTTTAGATCTAAGGTTTTAGAACTAAGGTTTTAGAACTAAGATATCAGAACTAAGGTTTCAGAACTAAGATTTTAGAGCTAAGGTTTTAGGACTTAAGTTTCAGAACTAAGGTTTTGGAACTAAGGTTTAAGATCTAAGGTTTTAGATCTAAGGTTTTAGAACTATGGTTTTAGAATTAAAGTTTCAGAACTAAAATTTTAGAACCAAATTTTAGAACCAAATTTTAGAACTAAAATTTTAGAACTAAGGTTTTAGAACTAAAGTTTTAGAACTAAGGTTTTAAAATCTAGGTTTTAGAACTAAAGTTTTGGAACTAAGGTTTTAGAACTAAAGTTTTAGAACTAAGGTTGTAGAGCTTTGTTATCATAAATTTTTAAATTGAAAAATTATCTCAAAATCAAAATTAAAAAGTGTCCAACCCCTGATCTCCAAAAACTTATCAAGAAAAGATATGCTACCTGATGAGAAAATTTTCTTTGAGGAAGAGGAAGAAAAACTTTTTTTTGAGAGAATTTTCATCGCTTCCGGTGAGAAATTTATCTCAATTGATGTGTACAAGTTAAGAAAATGGAAGAATGTAATCCAAAGATGTAGGAAATGTCAAAGGTATAAAAGTAGAAAGTTTCATAACTTTTTTAATGCTTCACGTGTGTTCTTAATCAATATTATTAGGGTGATGATGCTGAAATGTGACAATTAAGTTAATTTGAAAATTGAAGGAAAGAAAGCTTTAAAACAGGGTTGAAGAATAAAATAATTTGAAGCCCCCCTTCAGTGAGTTGGGGATTCCAGGTTTCCAAATCTTAAAATCTAATCCAAAAACTCACATGTTAAGCACATCAAAGCCTTTATCTTCAAAAAAAGCTTTTAAAGAAATGAAATTTTCACTTCAAAAACTTTATTCAATGTTAAATTTCTTCCTTTAATAATAAAATCTCTTTCATATCCTAATTCCATTGTTCTCAATACATTTCAATTCCATTTCCGTTCTCAAGCCTCCTTGAGCACAAGAAGAAGCATAGAAATATCAAATTAAATTCCACATAAATGAAAAATTCACGTCAGTTGTTGAAAAATTCAACTTAATCTACAGAAATTGAGAAAATTTTCATTTTATAAGTTTCATCATTCATTTATGAGATGTTGCGGGAGCTTAGTTAGTAAGACGATTACAGCTATCGAGGTAAAAATCCTCTTTTTGATGTTAGATTAAATAATTTTAACCATTTTTGAGACAAAACCGAAAATGAGGATTGAAATTGAGTCTAATTTATGCTGGCATGGTAATCGAGGCTGTGCCTATAGTTATTGAAAATAATAATGGAAATTGAGTTTGTGGGATGAACTTGTGGATTGAATTGAAGTTTTCGAAGATTTTTGCTTATTTTCTTCCTCTTCAAAAAAAAGAAAATTCTCTTTCGTCATCTATAAAAATTTACTGTGTGCTAATTTTCTTTCTTATAAATTTTCTTTTTATGTTTTATTCTTAAAAAACCTTTTTCTTCTTCTTATTTCTTTTTTCTCCTTTTTTTATTCTACATTTTTTAAAAAAAAAACCTTTTTCGACTTTTCGTGACATTTTTCCTGTCAATTTTCTTACAAATAATTTCAAAATATTTAAAAACAATTTGCAGAGTTTTTGGAGTAATGTGCTGGGGGGTTTATGAGATGATGGAGATGAATGTGGGTTGACATGATGATAATGTCGGTAAAGTTGGGATGTATGACGTCAATCTACTGTAAATTGTATAAAATGGGGGAAATTATTGCAATTTAAAAGTTTGAAAATTGGTATTTTGCAAAATTGAATGTAACTTAAATGAAATCAGCGAACACTCGAGCAGACTCTGCATTGTTAAAAATTATTAATTGTGAACAAACTTTCGAACACATACGATGAAATGAAAACAAAACAGGTCAACAAGCTTTAATTGGATAAACATAAAGTACGCTTTACTACAACGAATATAAACAGGACTGAATATTGTGTTATAAAATTACAAAATAAATATTCATTAATACGGAAAATTGTGGAACATGAAAACTGCTAAACTGCTATAAAAATGGCTGAACTGCTACAAAATTGGAGAAATTGCTACAAAAATGAAGAAACTGCTGCAAAAATGGAGAAACTGCTATAAAAATGGAGGAAACTGCTACAAAAATGAAGAAACTGCTACAAAAATGGAGGAAACTGCTACAAAAATGGAGAAACTGCTGCAAAAATGGAGAAACTGCTACAAAAATGGAGAAACTGCTACAAAAATGGAGAAACTGCTACAAAAATGGAGAAACTGCTACAAAAATGGAGAAACTGCTACAAAAATGGAGAAACTGCTACAAAAATGGAAAAACTGCTACAAAAATGGAGAAACTGCTACAAAAATGGAGAAACTGCTACAAAAATGGAGAAACTGCTACAAAAATGGAGAAACTGCTACAAAAATGGAAAAACTGCTACAAAAATGGAGAAACTGCTACAAAAATGGAGAAACTGCTACAAAAATGAAGAAACTGCTACAAAATTGTAGAAATTGCTACACAAATGGCGAAACTGCTACAAAATGGAGAAACTGCTACAAAAGTAACAAAACTGAATACGCCAAAAATAGCCTAATGAACCTGAAAATGTTTACAAAAAATTTGAAAAAATTAAAAAAAAAATCAAAATCTTTAAAATTAACGAGATAAATTACGAAAATTTAAACCTAAATTTCATACTTGAATAAAATAACAAAAACCGAAAAGCAATAACAAAATGTCAATTAGTAAAGAATAATGAAGCTTAATTGAAATAGAATCCTGACTAAAATGGAATTTCTACCTCCTGTTATGATAATAAATATTTTATCAATGCTATTTTGAGGATTCTGTTGATTATATATTGGATGCTTTACAATTAGGGATGTGCTGCATATTGAAGTAATGCAATTAATCGTATGAAAATTGTACAATAACTGAGAATTATTAATGAAGAGGTCAAGTCGCTTCAAATTTATTCGGAAATGTACAATAATTAATTGTACTTCTAGAATAGTCAATAAAAACTGCTGAAACTGCTTAAAAAGACCAGATCTCTACAAATTTTTAAATGATACCCTAAATGTCGTACAACACACAGTAAAATAATTCTTATGACTAGAAATAACCAAACCCCGCCTCCATTAACTCATAAGACAGCCTAATAAATAATAAACCTATCAAATATTACGATTATTATTCACTGTTATGGATAAAATATAGAATTACCGACCATAAGATATTGAAGATATAATAAGCATGTATCAGTGAAATGTGTCAATGCCACATGACATCTAGCACGTAGGCCGAGCATCGTGAACTCATTACTACCGACTTTTGATATGAACATAAAGAAAAATTACGGAATTTTCGAAAAACGATGAGAAATTATGGAAGGCTTGTAAATAGTGTTTTGCGATACGAAACTTAACTTCTGATAAATGATATAAATATGGAAGTTGATTTAAAACTGCTGTAAAAATGGAGGAATCTGCTACAAAAATGGAGGAAACTGCTACAAAAATGGAGGAATCTGCTACAAAAATGGAGAAAACTGCTACAAAAATGGAGGAAACTGCTACAAATATGGAGGAAACTGCTACAAAAATGGCGAAAAAACTACAGTAATCGAAACGTAATCTCGTCAGCTTTTACCTACATAGTACAGTACTTCCATCTACACAGTTGCATAACTACACAACAGAAAATACCAGCTTCATGAAATTTTAATTGAATATCAAATATTTACCTGATTACCGCATCTCATAAAAGCTTCACAGGAAATAGTTTATTCGAAAATTATGATGAAAATTTATCTCGTTATCTACGATATTAATTAAAAGTGATCAACTATACTAGTTTAATAAATTGAATCTATGACTAATGATCAGGAGAAAATGAGAATCAATTATTCTTGTTATGAGCATCTGTTGGATATTAATAAGGCTGGAGGGAAAATGTGCTTAGTGGAAAATTTGATAGGAATGTTAATGACAGAACAAAATGGCTGGACCGCTATAAAAATGGCTGAACTGCTACAAAAATGACTGATGCTAGGGCTTTAAAGATGGCCCATCTACTATAAAGCTTAAGCTTCATATCTAATATCATTAATTCTATCCAACAAGACAACTCTGAACAACAAACATCTTTCAGTTAATCAATTGGCGTGTAAATCAGCCTAAAGCAACCTCAATCATAGCCTATATTGCTTCTAAATAACCGATAATACTCCTCTTCTGCAGTCCATAAATCAACTCGTTTGATTAGAAAATTAAAAGCAGCTGCAATGACTTGCAGTGTATAAACAGAACGTCAGGAAAAAAATTGAAAAATCAATTCACATAAGCAACGAGATATGCATTTGGAATTGCAAGTAGTACGCTTGGATGTCGTAATTGAATCAATTGATTGGAAAATTATTAAGCAATCATGTTGGAACTGCCAGAATGAATTCAATATTCAAAGCACAGATGCGAAAGTTAATGAGAAAATTTAATTAAAAGATGAGGAAAATGTGATAGTAGTTTTTGGGTTTGGTATTGTGGTAGGAGCATTTGCACTAAGTGCGAATGAGGTCGAATATTTCAAAAAAGGGGTTTAATTGGAAGCAAAACTGCTGTTAATGAGGAGGAGCTGCTACAAATGATGCACAACTACTATAAAAGATGCAAAACTGCTATAAAAGATGCAAAACTGCTATACAAGATGCAAAAATGCTATAAATGATGCAGAACTGCAATAAATGATGCAAAACTGCTATAAATGATGCAACATTGCAATGAATGAAGCAGAACTGCAATAAATGATGCAAAACTGCTATAAAAGATGCAAAACTGCTATAAATGATGCCAAACTGCTATAAATGATGCAAAACAGTTATTAATGATGCAAAACTGCTACAAATAATGCCAAACTGCAATAAATGATGCAGAAATGCTAGAAAGCATCAAAAATACTCCACAAAAATCTCTGCAAATTCTTAAAACAAAACTCAAAGAAAATTGAAGGAAAAAAGTCAAACCTTGAAATTTTTGTCTCACAACTTAAAAAAATATACACAAAATGCGAATTGAATTGCGATTGAACCCTCCTCCCACTCACTTTCTGAATCTGTCTTACTCACGATCTTTTGGGGAAATCTAAAAATCCAATTTAACACACACACGAAACTTGTAAGTCACAAAAAAACGCTTTTAGAGGAAAATTTTTGATTTTAATTTTTTCTTTTATTTTCTTTGTTGATTTCGCTTAGATGAAAAATTTTTAAAGATTTTTTTTGTTATTAATTTGTGAAGATTTGACAAGAAAATGGTTAAATGTAGAGGATCTTAGCCACATTTAAGGAGCATGTGGTAACATTTTGCAGTCTAAATGCTTGTAGACCTCTGAAATAATAAAATTCTGTAGCTTTTTTGACCATTAAGGATCAGATGCCATACCAAAGTAAAGGATCGCAAATATCTTTAGAAAATCATAAATTTATTACTTAACATTTGCCTAATTAGCTTTATATCCTCAAACAATACATTTTAACCATTTCCAAGAACAATTTTATGGAATTTTAAACAAAATTTGACCACAAATTGAGCTGAAAAGGTCAAAAATTCAAAGTTCTTGCTTGTAAATACTGAACAACATCTTGTCAATCTGAAAGCTTTTATGTCATAATTTGTTAATTTTTAGACATCAAAATTTCAATTTAATTTATTTTAGACTTTTTTTTTCGTTCAGGTAAATTTTGTTTTTCTTTTCTTCATTCGACCAAATTTATGATTTTCCTCATTACAATTGAAATTAAAATCAAGGGGAAACGTGTTGAAAGGTTAAGATCTCATGTATGAGACTTTATAGACAATCAAACTATGAAAAGCTATTGTATTTGATATTCATATAATGTAGTGGCTTATTTGGGCTCAACGCATAACCTTTAATAATAAACAAAAAGTGTGGATCTGACTTTTGACTATTTTTGGTGATTTTTAATCCATTTTCTTGATCTCAATAAGATTTGTGAATGAACCAGCAAAGAAACACTGATGCTTTCCTGAATTTTACATTTCTATTTGTTTTGTATTACCTGAAGTTGACACAATCATCATCATGATCCAAGCACGTAAAAAACAAGAAGAAAACCAACAACGAGAGGTCACAAATTAAATAAAACAAATTGCGATTCGACTTTGATTCAAACAATTTTAATTGTATTAATTTCGGTCTTTTGACTTTGACTTTTGGGGGATTTTTGTGTTTTTTTTTTGCAGAATAGCGAATGTTTGAGGGATTCGACGGTTAAAAAAGGCTAATGTTAAATGAAAAATTTGATTTTTTGAACATTTTACATAAAATTAGTAGTGCATTAAAATTAAATTTTTCAAAATCTGTTACACTAAAATCTAGTACTTCAATAAATTGCGTACTTCAAAAAATCCAGTATTCAAAAAATCTAGCACCTAAAAAATTCTAGGACTTAAAAAATCTAATATTCAAAAAATCTAGAACCGAAAAAAATTCTATTACCTAAAAAATCTAGTATATAAAAATCTAGGACTTAAAAAAATTTAGTACTTTAAAGTATAGAATATCAAAATCTGGTGCCTTTAAGTTAATGGTTTCTAAAAAATCTAGTACTTAAAAAAACTATTTCTTTAAAAATCTCGTTTCTCAAAATATAGAACTTAAAAATCTTACTCCTCTAAATTCAGCGTTGTCTTCGAATCAAATGCATCAAAATTCAATCCAGAGCTTCAAAATCTAGGATCTAAAACCTAAATCAAAGTACCATAAAATCTAGTACTTAAAATGTTGAAAAAGTATGCTTAAAATAAACAAAGTCTTCATACATAATTTCCATATTTTAATATTTCATGAAATCTCTGTCCACAAAACCCCAAATCTTCCTAGAATACAGCAAACAACCTTCATCAACAAATTTTAAAAAATATTAAGATCACCAAAGAGATAATTCAAATTATAATCATGCACAGCAACGGCAGAGGCTCGATTATCAACAAAAAATACAAAAATATTAAATTTCATCTTCATTTAATTTCCAAGAAGTACTTCGCAAAATTATCTTTTCAAATTTCGACGCAAAATATTTTCATTCTTGATGAAAGCTTTCATTAATTATTTTACAATGGAATTTCGACGATCTTCAGAAATATGAAAAGGAATTTTTGCTACGTGAAATCTGATTTATTTTAAGTATCGCTGACATTGCTAAGGCAATGAAAATTGAGAAATATTTTAACTTTTTTATCTTACGGTGATGCCTTAGTGAGGCAAAAATAAGCGAGAATAATTCTTATATGTGGGTGGATAATCTACAAAAAATGCTGATTATGCTTCTTGTAAGACTGAAATGATTTGTAATCGCTTTTACTAGATTAGAATTATTTTTCGTAGATTAGGATGTTTTGGAGCGGGGGCAGCTATTGAGTTGAACTGTGAATTATTCTGTTTAAACCAGAAAATTTAATTCAATTTTAATTAGATTTATTAAAGAAGTACTAGATTCTTTATTTACTAGATTAGTCAGTATGTAATTGATTGTTCAATATCTACTAGATTTTTCAGTATGTAATAGATTATTCCGTTTGTACTAGATCATTCAATTCTTATCAGATTATCCAATAAGTACTAGATTGAGAAAAATGTACTAGATTATTCAAAATGTATTGGTTTTTACGTATATACCAGATTATTCAGTATGTACTAGATCGTTCAGTATGTACTAGATTATTCAAAATGTACTAGATTTTTTAATATGTACTAGATTGTGCAAGATGAAACAGAATATACAGTATATACTAGATTGAGCAATTTGTGCTCAAAGAAAATAACAAAATAAAAATCCAATTTTTCATCCAAACCTTAATAAAATGAGCTCCAACCATCCTCATTTCACATTAAATTTTTGGGTTTCAACAAAAATGAATGGACATCAAAATGTCAAAGTTTAAATTACTTTAGACACAAAGGCAAGGAAATAATTTCCATAATTCAATCATTAACGCGAACATCCAGGCGCGCAAAAAAAACGGAAGTTCACCAAGTGGATGGAAAAATATTAAAAACATCGACCCACAGCTTGAAATTTTTTCTTTTTCTCACTCGCCATTAAATTTTTTTCCACTTTTTTTCTGTTTTACTTTAAAAAAAATATCCCATCAAATTATTTATGATTTTAACTTTGTTGCTTACTATTTTATGGTTTTTGCTTTGCAATTTATTGAAAATATTTTTATGCTTTTAAAATTAATTTTCTTTAATTGAAAACTAGATTTTAAGAAAATTTAAAGAAAAGTTCAATGAAGTTTAAAAACTTTAAATAATTTTTTGAATAATTTCTAATAAAAATTTCCAATTTATATGAAACATTTTCAATAGGGCGGCGGTGGTGATGTTAGAGGCAATCATTCAAATGACAATCCATTTTACAGCAACATTGACAGTATGCCTGACATACGGCCACGGAGGAAGTCTATTCCGCTCGTGTCGGAACTTGTAAGTATCGATTTTTGTGAATTGAAACTTTTTTATAGGAAAAAACAACATTTTTTGACATTTTCATCTCTCATTCCATCAAAAAAAAACTTTCATTTTCTAAGTATTACTTTTTTTCATCTCCTGTTGTGACAAAGGATGGATCATTATTGACAGTTCAGGACTGAATACTTGCTAAATATTGTTTTGTTATTACTTTTTTTGGTTACCAACAGCGAAATGAAGCTGAATATTTGCACATAACCACAAAATTTGTCAACAAAGCCTTAACTTTTTGAAACATAACCTCAAAATTTCGCAATTTAACTAAAAATTTCACAACATAGCTTCAAAAGTTGGCAACATAGCTTCAAAAGTTGGCAACATAGCCTCAATAGTTGGCAACATAACCTCAAGATTTGAAACCATAACCTCAAAATTTCAAAACATTAACTTAATATCTGGCAACATTGCCTCAAAATTTGGCGTCATAACCTCAAAATTTCATAACTTAACAGTTCACAACATAATTTGAAAATTTGGCAACGTGGTCTTAAAATATTCAACATAACCTCAAATTTCAGTGAAAAAACATTGAAAATTTTAGAAAAATAACCTCAAAAATTACAAAGTTTCATTCCGTTGCTAACCCACGCCTAATCCTATTTATATCCACATATCCATTTCAAACGACATCATCAATTAAAAATGTCCATTCCAAAACTTTATTTTTAGTCCATCAACTGCCCATTTACCTATAAAAACTTTTTAGTCAACAATAAAGTTGCTTCATCATCCAATAAATGTCTTTTTTCATTTCCATTTCCTTTGAATGAACTCTAAAATTCATTTAAAAGACATGCCTGAACATGTCCTAAAGTCAATCTGCCTTTCAATTATTTTCCTTTTTTTTTGTATAACGGATGAGGAAGTTGGTTGATGCGTAGGAAGATCCGTCCGTATTTTGACATTTTCTCATATTTTTGTGAATTCCCGAGATGGCGATTAGGATGATGTAGAGAAATTTGAGGATGAATAACTTATTGTAGCCAAAATAATATGAGTTGTTGCAATTGTTGACGATTTATGACCAAATTTTTGAACATAACCTCAAAAATTTGCAGAATATTGTCCACAAAAACCACTTCTTTCAAGATCTTAACAGCATCCTCATTTACCGTGCATCGCCCAACCTGCTCTATCTAGACGTTTACCATCAGAAATCTCAGCAATCATTCTCGTTCCTCTTGCAAATCCTTTCCGTTATTTTTATGTGCTATTTTTTTTTTGTTATCACGATTAATGTTTTATGCGCCATTTTTTGTGTCGTGTTTTCAGCAACGACACGAGAAAAATAATTCATTTCTCATCTTGCATTAAAATTTCAGTCATAAAAGTTCATTCTTTTTACTTTTCTACGAAAAATGTGATGTGACATGACAAATATATTTTGTATGAAATTGCAAAATGGAAGTCAAACAAGGACTAAATTAGATGATGAAGGAATGTAAAATGAGTTTTAAGTGATAATGGCTATGGATGCATTGTGATTGGCTTTAAATTTTGCTGACATAACCTCAAAGTTTTCATGAATAATGCAGAATTTGTTGCATAACCTTAAAATTTCATTTAAATCTCAGAACTTTGAGACATAACTTCAATATATTACTAATTTTTTGGGCTTAACCTCAAAACTTCAAGATTATTTTTGACTTAACCTCAAAATTTTATGAACCTTTTTTGACTTAACCTCAAAACTTCAATTTTAATTTTGACTTAACCTCAAAATTTTATGAACCTTATTTGAGTTATTATTTTTGAATTAACCTTAAAAATTTATAAATCTTTTTTGACTTAACCCCAAAATTTCATGATTTTTTTTGACTTCACCTCAAAGTTTTCTATATTATCACAAAACTCATTCAAAATTCCTTTTTTATTAACTTTATCAAACCACTGAAAATCCACTAAAATTCATCTTTTCTGTCACAATTTCTCTTTTTTCCTTTCTTTTTCTCTCTCTCTTTCTCTTTCTCTTTCATCCCGACTTGAACATACATTCATCAAAATATAACAATAATAAAACTGTTAATGTATCCATCCGACAATCCATCAATAACCCTCAACCGGAAATATTGAATCTATTGACAATGATACGGACTTGTGTCTAACCATCCGACAACCCATTGTGTTCCTTAAAATGAAACTAATCTTACCAAATAATGGAAAAATTTTCTCATTTTCTTCTTCTTCTTTTTCCTTCCCTTTCTTTCGCTGGATGTATTTTCCGATGTGTTGAATAAACTTTTTTATAACCTACAAAAAATATTAAAAATTGTGTCCCTTTTCGAACCACAAATCTTACAAAAAATATTACATAAAAAATTTAATTGAAACTTATACAGGTGCTCAAGGTACTGAAACAATTTTCTTCTTTTTTTTCTATTTTGCTAGATTTTTAATTTGCAAGTTTTTTTTTTCATAAAAAACTTATTTGAATGAAAATTTTAGAATTTTAGATTTTTTTAAACACACGTTAAAGATTTTTTTCGTTTTGAATGATTTTTTAACTTTGCTAGCTTTAAAAAAATTAACTGCACAATTTTTTGAAAATTTTGTTGATAGTTCTTGTAAATATTTAGGTTAAATGATTGAAATTAACACGAATTGTAGCTTTAATATTGAAAAATGTTATGAAAAAATAAACCGACGATGATTTTTAAATTGGAATAAATTCAAAAATAATCAACTTAATCTCAAACATTGAAAATCTACCTGAATTTTTGTCACAGAATCTCAAAATTCTGTTTAATAATTTAAAATTTTATTTGTACAATCTTAAACTAAAATTAGAAAACCACAAACAAAAAATCAAAAATTAAAAAATCAAAAATTCAAAAACCAAAAATATGACAACCAAAGTTCAATACCAAAAACCATTAAAATCAATTTTAACAAGAACATCGTAGGTTGATTAAAAAAATCCTTTCAAAACCACTCCTAATTTTCAAATAACTCAATTATGTGCCCACTTAAGCATAAGATTTTAACCTAATAGACAACAGAATCATCAATTACTCAGTATTTTACAGTCTCGAAATACCCTTAAGTACTTACGTTCCATATTTATTGCTCGTTAGATCTCCATTTCCTTTTTTTCTGCAATACGACCTTCTTGGAATTCTCTTCTTCAATCCCTTTCTTATTTGTACCTTTCGGAAATATATTTTTAAATTTAATGAAGGCAAATCTTGCCTAATTTTCAAATAATTTGAATTCAACTCAAAATTTCCATGATTTAAATAAGTTAAGGCTTTAACTTAGATTCAGTTTGTCTTGTGCTAGAATTTTGGTGCAATCTTTAGATCAGTGGTGGGCAACCTTTTTTATGAAATGGCAGATCTTGAAGGTTAACAATGACTTAAACCGCACACAGAACGTGGAATTTTTCTCACACTAGTGTGTCGCGGCACATGGGTTGGCCATCACTGTTTTAGAAAGACATGATGCATATGTTGAGGTAGATTATGTAGCTTTCCTTTCAATACCTTCATTTTATGAATACATTTTAAATATTTAAGATTCTGATTGACATTATTGAAATATTTATTCTAATGGATATTGTAGCATGAACTCTTATAGGGAGAGTCCTGTAACTCGTGGGAAGGCGATAGGGGTCTCGAAATTTTTTTTTTCAATTCTTAAATCATTTAATATTTTTATTATAATTTAATTTCAAAATAACATGCTTAAATCTTTTAAAAGCCTAGTTTAAACTTAGGACAGTGGAGTGGAAGGGATGAAGTTGGACTTCCTTCGCCCTCTTCTAATTTTTTGGCTTTTTCTTACAATTTGCTATTAATTTTTGAGAAAAAATCCCAACTGCCCTTCCAAAAAGCTTTTCGGTTACGTGCCTGACCCTTATTTTTATTAAGGATTTAAATTTTAATTTTTTTTCTTTAAAATATAAAATTTGAATTTTTTTAAATTATTTCAAACAATTTGTTTCAATTTATTTTGAATCTTTCTCAATTTTAAATTAATATCTGTCATTACTTAGCATTAAAATTATTACACAATAGATCCACAATCACTCTTAAATATCAAATAATAACAGCTCATTAAATCACCACAAAAACACCTATAAAATAATTAATTCCAACAAGCTTTTCCCATCTCAATTTATTTCAAATGAATAACAAAAGCCACAGAAAATATTAATAGTGCGGAAAATTGAGCAATTTGTGAATAATTCCATGCAATTTGTCAAAAAAAAATTTAAACCGTAATTATTGCGAGTTATCAAACGGATTTGATCGCATTAAGTTTGTAAAATTGAATTTAATACTAGAAATTGAAATAAATTTCACAAGTTATTGGCATTGAACATTTTATGGGATTATTTTGGAATGTTGTTTGGGGATTAGAAGGTGTTTGTGGTGATTAAGGTGATATTCTCGATGGATATAAGCTGTTGATGTAGTTTACAAATCAATGAATTTTAAATTTTGGTATAATTGGCATTTAATAAATTTGGACTAAACAGGGGCGAAGCTAGGGGTGCGTTCAGAACTTAAACTTAATATTTGAATGTTAAAAAAATTGAAAATTAGTGTTAAAAACTTTCAGAACCCTCAAAAAGTTCTAGCTACATCTTTAGACTATTCAACTCAAACCTAGTTGACCCTCTGGCTCCGCCCAATCTTAAACATCCTTTGCTAAACCTACAAACTACAACAAATTTAGCTTCAAATCTTAGAAAATAATTTTTATTTTTCCTGCACAATTTTTTTTCTTCTGTTCAGAATTTTTCACATTTTCCTTTCCAAAATTAAAAAAAATTATTATGAAGTATTTTGTTCACTAGACAAAAAAAAATTTTTGCTTGCCTTTTAGCCTTGCCTGCCTGTTCTCAGTTCTATTTTCCTTTCTTTTAGACAATATAAAAATAAAAAAAAAACTTTTTTTTCCGCTTGTTGAATTTTGTTACTAATTTTATTTTAATGAAAAAATATTACAAGAAAAATTTCATTAATTTACGAAACATTCTCTCATTCCACGATGACCATCAGACAATGGCAGCAACAAAGAGAAATGCTGGCTTAACGTCGGCAATTCCACGACCAATGCTCAATGATGAGGATTTGGTGAGTTTTTTGATGCGAGAAAATTGAATTAAAGTTTAAAATATATTTTTTTGTTCCATCCTTGCGCGGCTGTAGAAAACTCATGTGTACAAAAAATCACTTCAAGCGCTCATTTATCCGATTTCATCAACAACACCGCACAATTTTACGCCTTACAATGCAACATCGCCGACATATTGTTATGAATGTGAAGGTGAGTTTGAAGGGGATTGGTGGGTTTTTGGGGGGTGAAGGGAGTTGGTGACTTCTCAGGCAGTTGGGCAATTAAGTATTTTGGAGTAAAAAGTGTTAAAATAATGAAAAAAAATCACCCGAATCTGACAAAATTCTGTCAATTTTTTATTTTCGTTCAGAATTTTAGCGAAGTTTTGATAAAATTCGCCAAAAATCTGTCAAACCTTGTCCATGATTAATTACGCAAAATCGAGTGAATTTGAGATTTTTTACTGAACAATTTGATCAAATTCTAGCAATATTACCACAGAAGTCGTCCACAATATCCACCAGACTATAACAAAATTCAATTTAATTGCCAAACCTTTATTTCACTTTAATTCTTCTCATTCCACAGGTCTCCTTTGGGGTATTGCCCGTCAAGGTGTACGATGTACTGAATGTGGCGTCAAATGTCACGAAAAGTGCAAAGACCTCCTTAATGCCGACTGCTTACAAAGTAAGATGAGACTCGTTTGTCCAATTTTCAACTATTTTGACTACATTGTAGTATTTTGACCCCTGAAACTTAAATGTTTGTCCTTTGATAATTCCTTTATCCTTAGTGGGGGTCAAAAATTAATTTATGAATCTTTGAAAACGCATTTTTTGAATTTTTATTATTTCTTGATGTCGTTAAATTGAAGATTAAAATTAAAATCTTGATGTGAATAATTTAAATTTTTTTATGATTTTTTTTTTCGAGACTTTTTTGTAGGAAATTTCTTGCGCACCTTAAAAAGTATTTCAACCTTTTTCTTTACTAAACACGCTACTACTTTTAGTTAAAATTGAATTTATTTTAATTCAATTAATTTTTTTGTATGCCGTGCTGTGCCGTTAACTAATTGATTTATTCCCAATTCCATTAAGTTAATAAATGTCTGTAAAATATAATTTTCCATTCTTGCTAATGTAAAAAACATTTCTAGAAGCTTTAAAGCTTGAATTTCCTTAATTTTGGTAAAATTTCTTTAAAATAACTTGTTTGAAATTTAAAATAAATTAAATTTAGCCAAGGAATGCAGTAAAAACACGTAAAAGCCTTCAAATATTTAAAAAGTAGTAAACACATCCACTTAAGTATTTTTTGTATTTATACAGACTTGTTGTAGATTAATTTCATAAATCCATGATAAAAATAAATTCTAATTTTCAAGACTTTGAGTTACCATCCCTTGGTTTTTAAAATCATTATTTTAAAAAATAAACAATAAAGTTTAACTTTAATTTTTGGTTATTAAAATAATTATTTTTGATATATTTTAAACAAGATTTTTTAAATAATTTCTTTTATTTTAGAGGTGTAGCCATGTGAGGGATTGCAGGGGTTTAACTTCTTCAGTTCCTTCTGAATAATTCTGGCTACACTCTTTATAAGTTATCCACCCCTTGTATCACATTTCAAAGTTGTATCTGTGTTATTCTGATGTAAACCTAACCAGTGGTTTAGCCAGAAATTATTTAAGGGCTAGTTTTAAACCTTCCAATCTCTACTGAAGGTTTTGACCCTATAAGACCCCTCCCTGGCTACGCTAATGAACAAAACCAAAATTTAATATTTTTGTGTTTAAAATTCCTCAAAAAGTGTAAATATTTTCATTTTTATAATTTTGTAAATAATTCGTTTCGTTTTCAAAACCTACAAACAATTTGGCAAACATTTTGATTTTTTCCTTCTGTTTGGACTCTAAAAATACCAAAAACAAACATTAATTCGGATCTGAAAATTTCTTTCATTTAAAAATTATACAAATTAATTTAACTAAAATAATTTTAAAGACAACAATTTAAAATTGGATTAAAAAAGCTTTTTGAATTTATAAAAAATGAAAAGAATTAAAATTTTCAAATTATTGAAAGTTTTAAAGTTAAAAAGAACCAAAAATTTAAAAATTTTTATAAAATTTTGAATTCTTCAAAAATTAAAAATTCAAATTTTTAACAATTTCAACTAAGATTTTCTTAGAAAAATTAAATTAAAATTTGTTTTAATTTCACTTTTTCATATAAATCAGAAAGCTTTAAGTTTTAACTTCAAATTGCTTTAAATTTAACATTTTAAAACTTTTTTTCTTATTTCAAAAATCTTTTCTCATGTCAATTAAGCATTTCAATTTTTAAAACTTATTTCTTAGATTCTTTAGAAAAAACATAAATTTCATATTTTACATATTTATAAATATTTCTATATTTCTATACATATATAATATTTAACATTTTTAGAAAGTCGATAGTTAGATTAATATTTGAAGGAAATTAGGTCCGGTGTCCTTAGTCGTAGTTTGTCTGACTCTGTTAATAATGAACTGCTGGATATTACCGTGTTAATCTTTAGTGTGTTTTGCAGGGGCTGCTGAGAAGAGTTCTAAGCACGGCGCCGAGGACAAGGCGCAATCTGTGATGACAGCAATGCAAGAGAGAATGAAACAACGTGTCTGTGACAAACCGGAAATATTTGAATTGCTTAGGTAGATTTTTTCTTGATTATTTGAAATTTTATAAAATTGATTTTAATATTTCTAAATTTATTGAATGGGAAATCTACAGAATGGGACATTTTTTGGTTTGAAACTGTTGTGTAATTTGGAAAAAAATTCAACATAGTCTCAAATTCAAATTCAAATATTTCTGAACTAACCTCAAATTCAGAATTTTAACTTCAAAATTCAGAAGCTTGACCTCAAAATTCAGAAGCTTAATCTCAAAAGTCAAAAGCTTAACCTCGAAATTCAGAAGTTTAACCTCAAAATTCAGAAGCTTAACCTCAAAATTTGAAAGCTTAACCTCAAAATTCAGAAGGTAACCTCAAAATTCAGAAGCTTAACCTCAAAATTTGAAAGCTTAACCTCAAAATTCAGAAGGTTAACCTCAAAACTCAAAAGCTCAACCACAAAATTTAGAAGCTTAACCTCAAAATTCAGAAGCTTAACCTCAAAATTCAGGAGGTTAACCTCAAAATTCAGAAGCTTAACCTCAAAATTCAGGAGTCTAACCTCAAAATTCAGAAGCATAACCTCAAATACCTTTAACTTAACCTGAATAAAATTCAATAAAGGTTCAAAAACTCAAATTTAACTTTAAAACGTTCCAAATATAAACCAAAAAAAAATTCCGCAATGTTGAAAATTTCTCCAATTATCCTTTCACATTTCAACCAAAAAATGTTTCCCATTTTTCAATCAACCAAACAAAAGAAAATTCCACTATAATAATTTTTCCTGTTCATAAAGTGGAATTTATTCCCTCAACGAATCGCAAGTGTGTGGCATTTACGAGCTGGTTTTGCATAAAATTTTACAATAAATTCAACTCGTGAGTGCCACAAAGAGTGAAGCTAAAAATGCATAAATATTTTTTATTCAAATGTTGACCTGTTATTGACCATTCACGTTTGTTTCCCACTCCATCGTACCTTTGGGAGTTTGGGTTCTATGAACATCAAAACAACGTGCAACTGCATATTTTATTGAATTCAATTATAAAAACAAAAAATTAATGTAAAAAATGTTCTAGAGCTATTTTTTGCTGTGATGAGAAAAGTCACGCTGGTCACATGAAGGCCGTCACGCAAAGTGTTCTCGACGGGACCAGCAAATGGTCTGCGAAAATTGCCATTACAGGTTTGCACCATTTTTAAAACCTTAAAAATTCATCATTTTTATTTGTTCCGTAAACAATTCTTGTATTTGATGTTGTTTTTTTGGCCATCTTTTTGTGTTCCTTTTTATGACTAAATGTTTTTTTTACAAATTTCTTTAAAAATATTCTTTTCTGATTCGTACTTAAAGTTTTATTGAATTCGAGTGACTTTTAAGTGTCGTAAAGTTGTTTTGTTGAATCATTTCTTTAGTTTTGTTATATATCGAAATTTTTTAAGTCATTTTTCTTTTAATTTGTCATGAAAATTTATTTAAATTTGATTTTATACTCATTCATGAAGATTTTTGAGTTAAATTTTGATTTAAACGAGATCACAAGAAGCTTTAAGGTTAAACAAGGGTCAATTTCTTTGGTACTAGTGCTGTACAGTGAGACAATAAGCATGGTAAACATGAAAACGCAGTGATGTCCAACCTATGTGCCGCGGCACACTAGTGTGGTGTAAAAAATATTGAGAAATCCCACGAACCGTACACCATGTGCAGTTTTAATCATGTCTAACCATTAAGGTGTGCTGTTGCATAAAAAGGTTTTCCACCACTGATGTATAGCATATTGTTACCATAATAGTACTTAGGACCAAAGAACTAGGCTCTTAGGATCTGAACGACCTGGTTTCCTTGAGTTCAAGCTCATTTCATGCCTTTTTAAAGCCCATCCAGAGATTGCTTTCTATAACTACACTTAAAGCACTTTAAAAGATGCCTTAAATAGGGTCTTAATAAAGATTAATCTTTGAATGTTCCCTGAATAGGATGCCATCTTGTGACCCAAAGAAACCAGACTAAGGTTCCAGTTTTCCTTAATTTTCACAATATAGGAACCAAAACTGTCCTTATCTTCAACATAATCACAAAAATAGCAACTAATTTGCAAATTGGACACAATTTCACTTCCTAAGCATTGCTAGAACTTGGCAGATTAAAAACAATTAGTCCTGAAAGCTCAGAATTTAAATATATTAATTGCTAGTCCTGCTTATTTCATGCTAAGACCTTTAAATCCTTGTAAACTTACATCTACTTTATCTAGAGCTGGTTTCAGCAAGGTTAGTGCCTTAACCCTGAGTTAGCTTCGAGTGTATAGTTTAAAATTGACTGTGGCTAAGCTAGATTACCTATAAGTAGCTATAGAGACAAGCCCCAGTGCAAACCTTGCCTATATAAGCCAGAGAAAACTAATCTTTAAAAGAAGAGTTTCATTAACTCTAATTCATCACTTTGAGGCTCATCCCTTTCAAAATAAATTGAAAAATCTTCCATCAACAAATTGACATATAAAAGAAAAAATCCATTAAAGTGTTTATGTCTTCATAATCCCCAAAACAGTTTAAATCTAACAATGAAATAATGCGGTCTGATGATGATAATCGCTATCGCGAAGCAGTAAAATTTTTCTTTTCCTTTACCTTTTTCCACCTTTTCTGCTCTGCGTTATTTATTGAGCGATACAAATATTATCTGAGGAGGCATGAATTGCTTTGCTGCATTGTTGGGGAAACATTCCGGAATATTGTGCCGCATAAATGTACGTGATTTGCATTGAGAATGCTGAATTAGAATTGATACATTTTGAAAAGGGGGAGCGATGGAAGTTGTTTGGATTGTTTTGGATTTATGATTATGCAATTTAAGGAAAGGGTTTAAGATTAATCAAATTATTGGTGGTTGGAGAGTCATAAGTTCAGAATTATGTTTTGTAACCTCAAAATTAAGATTTTTTTTAAATCAAAAATTAAGTTTATTTCCAAAAAATTAGATTCTAACCTCAAAATTAAAATGCAAAAGGTAAAAAATCATAACCCCAAAATTCTGGTACTTAATCCAAAATTGTGGTCCTTAACCTCAAAATTGTGGTACTTAACCTCAAAATTAAGAATTACGGCTGTCCTAAAACTTCAAATTATGACTGTCTTCAAGTTTTAAGAGTTTATCATCAAGACTTAGAAACATAACCTCAAAACTTGAAACTCTAACCTACAAACCTACTAGCTTAACCTTTGTTTTCGACATAACAGCACAATTAAAGAATTTTCCTCAAATTAAGTTATTTGAGTAGCTTTAAAGCAAAATTTATAAACATAACCTTAAAATTGAGTAACCAAACCTCGAAATTAACAAAACATAACCCTAAAAGCTCATCTAAACCTAAGAATAAATTAAAATAACCTCAAAAAAGTTTTAATTTCAAAAATGTTAAACATTCCAATCCCAAACTCAGGTCTTAGCATGACAAGCTTTCAAAAATGCACAGGAAAGACTTTCTTTTGATAAAATATTCTGCAAATAATTATCACTGAGATCATTCAACAAACAATTTTTTTTTATTTTCATCTCAAAATTTATTTATTATTAATTAAGACGGAAATGAAATTTGTCGTCTCGCATTTTTATGATTTCTTTAACTCACAAACCTTCCTTTTTTTTCGTATCGTAAACATAATAACAATAAAAATTATTCAAATGTTGTAAAGTGAATGGCTGATGGCGCTTTGTTGCTGTGTTATTTGCAGTAAGATGTAATAATTATGTAAATGTATGTTAATTAAAGTAACAAAAAGTAAATGCAATGACAAAATAGTTAATCCATGCTTGTTGCGTGGAAATTTTTATGCAATCTTCAAGCGGGTCAACTTTTACAGCGAATTAATCCTCATTTTGAGCTTTTTTGAACGAGACAAAAAAATAATACGAAATTCGAAGATTAGAGAGGACTTTTTGAAAATTTTTGAAGGATTTTTGATTTTTTGTGAGCTTTAATTTAACCTATTCTAAAATTTTTGAGCCTAACCTTAAATTTTTGTCGCTTAACCACAAAAATGGTTGACTTAACTTAAAATTTTTGTCGCTTAACCTCAAAATTGGTTGACTTAACCTCAAAGTTACATGACTTAGCCTGAAATTTTTGTGGCTTAATCTAAAAATTCGTTTAGTTAACCTCAAAATGTTTTTGGCATAACCTCAAATTTTTGTGACTTAACCTCAAAACTTTAGTGTTTGACCGTGAAAATTATCCAACTCAACCTCAAAAATTCATCAAATTTTCTCAAAAAAGTCCCTCAAAAAATACAAAAATTAAAAAATTTGTCGCTTTTTGTGTGTATTTTGTCATTATTTCTTAAATGTTTGTTTGTATTTTCTTTTGTTGTACTCGTAAAAACCCGAAAAAAAACATTAAAAATGAAAACAAAAATACCCAAAAAAAAATTAAAAAAATAAATAAAATAAGGATGACATTTGGCGTTGATCCAGATACACATATCGATACAACTGAACAAGCGAAGGCGTCGACAATTGAAGGAACATCAAAGTGGTCCTGCAAACTTTCCATAACAGGTAGACGAAAAATAAAAAATTTATTTACTTTTCATTTATTCTTTTTTTTAAGTTTTTTTTTCCTCCTCTTCAACTTGAAAGAGGAAAAATGAAGAAAATTCTTTTGTTTTTTATGAAAATTCATGAAAAACTTTTTCTCTCTTGTACAAATTCTTTTGTTGATTTATTAACTTTTATTTATTTTTAAAATTCTTTTATACACAATAACATGAAAAACACTTTAAAGATACTCTGTTAAATTGGGAAATATGGAACAAAATTTGATAAACTTCAAAACTTTTTTTTTTCAACTTTTTCTTACCTTAATTGCAATTTAGCTCTTTCCTTTCGCACTTTTTAGATACTTTTTCTGTCATAAATTTTTGAATCATACACTTATAGGGAGTAAGTCAGCTATGACATCCTATTTTAATGAAAAGGGGTTTTTAACTTTAAAGGAGTCTTGATGGGGTCTCGATGGATGCTGGAACAGATCTGAATGGAATTTAGATGGAGTCATGATGGAATCTGCGTGGGGTTTTGATAAGTGATGTAAGGATCTGAATACGGTCTCTTAGAGGTATAGAGCAGTCATGGCCAACCCAAGTGCCATGGCACACTAGTGTGAAAAAGTCTGAAAATTCCACAACCAGTATGTCATCTCATATTTTGGTCATGACTTCTTATTAAGATGGTTTTGTGCCGTGGCACAACAAAGGTTGTCCACTTCTGGTATAGAGGAGTTTAAATAAGTTTGAAGAGGTTTGGAAGGGTCTGAATGAGATTTGACGAGGACTGGATGACCTGAATGAGTTAAACAAGGTTTGAATGGGCGTGAATGGCCAATAAAGTGGTTTTGACAGAGTCTAAGAAGATTTAAAGGTATCTGGAAGTGCTCCAGAGAGGTTTTGACAAGCCTGAAGATGTCAAGTGGACATTGGAGTAGACAAAAGGGGTTTGAAGAATTTTGGATGTTATTGAGACATTGAATTGATAAGTACTTTCTTTAAATGGGTTTGATTGGATCTGTATAAGATTATTGAGGTCGAAATGAGTTCTCAAGGGTCCCTGAAGATACAATATTTCCAATAAATATTATATTATGCGATATTGAATATCAAATGTCTAGAAATTCAATTTTAAAGACTAACATCACTTATGAATGTCCCCAAAAAAACTTTCTAGCTCAAACTTTCTTCCTTTACCTTTTCTCTTCAATTTCATTTTTCCAATTTTCACAATTTTCTTTCAATTTTTTTAAACGGGTTGAAGAAATTCGTTCATCGTCGTCAACGTATTATCACGTAGACATTTACATGCATAAAGAATAAATTTGAGATATGACAAGTGAATCGAATTTGTATGTAAAGTTTAATGTACCTAAATATACACTTGAATGACTGTTAAAAATATTTCTCATGTATGTGCTGATAAAAGTAAGACACATTTCACTTTTTGGTGGAGAATGGGTTTGTTGGAAGTGAGATTAGTGATGTTTTTAGTAGCTATGTGGTTGTGCTGGGTGTTGGTATAAAGGTGGGTTAAATTTGATAAGCTGTAGTTTTTGGAGATGTTTTTGATATTTTACAAACTTTTTGAAATTCTAACCTCAAAGTTTTGCAGTCCTAACCTCAAAATTCAAAAACTCTAAGCTCAAAGTTTTGAAATCCTAACCTCAAAAATCGAAAATTCTTACATCAAAGTTATAAAATTTCTGACAATTTCAACTAATTCATACCAAATTTCCCTCAAATTCTCTCAAATCTTCTTCACAAAGCTCTTAAATTTCAATCCCACAACACAACATCTTCAACTTTAACTCTCACTCCATAAAAAATCATTGATAACAACTTCAAGTCAAACATCAAAAGCCAAACAATTCTCATTTCAATACCACATGCAGCTAAACATTTACTCTACTCAAATACTTTTATGACCTAAATAGCAAATCTAACTTACAGCGAATGAAGAAAAGCGAAATGAGAAGCATCAGAAGCATACATTGGGAGAGCCACAAGAGAAATAGGAAAAAATTAACTCACTAGAGCACTTGATGGGAAAAACACAAAGTAAGAAGAAATTATGGGAAGCAATATTTGCAAACAAGGGAAGCAAAAAATTGAGTTTTGTTGTAAACTTAGGGGAATTTTGGTCGGAAATTAATAAATTTTTAATATATTAAAGCTTAAAACTCTAATGTGAGTGCACCTGAAACCCAAAACTCATGTGTAAAGGCACTTAAAAATCAAAACTCTAGTGTGAATGCACCTAAACCCATAAAACTTAATTGTGAAATCATCTGAATTTCATAAATCATTGTGAATGCACTTAAACATCCTTTAACTCTAGTGTGAAGGCACCTGAATATCAAAACTCTAATGTGAATGCACCTGAACCCATAAAACTCAATTGTGAAAGCATCTATATCTTATAAATCATTGTGAATGCACTTAAACATCCTTTAACTCTAGTGTGAAGACACCTGAATATCAAAACTCTAATGTGAATGCACCTGAACCCATAAAACTCAATTGTGAAAGCATCTAAATCTTATAAATCGTTGTGAATGCACTTAAACATCCTTTAACTCTAGTGTGAAGGCACCTGAATATCAAAACTCTAATGTGAGTGCACCTGAACCCCAAAACTCAAGTTAAAAGGCGCCTGAATGTCAAAAAATGTGAAGGCATCTGAACCTTAAATAAATCCAGATTAAGAACGAAGTCATCGCAAAGGATCCAAGAAAAAAAGTTTTCTAGCTGCATTTGCTGAAAAATAAAAAAACAAACTTGAGCAAAAATAAAAACGCTAGTCAGCAGAGCACGAATGATAAAAGAGCAAAGAAAAAAAATCCCATTTATAGACGAAGCAAAAAAAATAAGTTTCTCGTCATAAAAGATGTTATTTTCATTGTTGACTTTTTCTTGCTCTTGACACAGCTCATGCTTTCTTATTTCCCTATGAACTTTAACAGTCATGACGACATTGTGATTAGAAAAGTGTGCTAATGTCAGCATTGCAATGCGGTAATGATGTGGGTATTATGTAAGGAGCAAACACACGTGTATCGACTTTTGTGGTGAAACAAACTGTGGTTGGCGAAATGAGTAGGCACTGAATGATGCCCGGAAGGAATTTTTCGTTTATGGTTATGACTGAAATAATTGTTTGCATTGTGGATAATTTGTGTTGGCAGAGGTATTGAGATGAAAAGTTGTTGGAAGTGCAAAATAAGATTCTTTTGAGCTTTGACTGTTAATTTTTTGAAGTTTCGGTGTCTTCACACTAAGTTGCATTAAATCAGGCATCTTCACACTAGGTTTTATTAATGCAGGTGCATTCACATTAAGTTGTGGTAATTCAAGTGCCTTAACACTAAGTTGTATTAATTCAGGTGTATTCAAACTAAATTGTGGTAATTCAGATCTCTTCACAATAAATTGTAGTAATTCAGGTGTCTTCACACTAGGTTTTAATAATGCAGGTGTCTTCACGCTAAATCAAAGTAATTCAGGTGTCTTTACATTAAATTGTAGTGATTCAGGTGTATTCACACTAAATTGTAGTAATTCAGGTTTATTCACACTAAGTTGCAGTAATTCAGGTGTATTTACACTAAATTGTTGTAATTCAGATGCCTTTACAGTAAGTTTTTGAGATTCAAGCGCTTTCACGCTAGATTTTCATGCTTTAAGTGTCTTCACAGCAGGTTTATTTTATTCAAATGCCTTCACATTGGTTTTTTGTCGAATTCAGGTGCCTTCACAAAAGAATGCATAAACTTTACTTTAAGTAACTTTGCAGAAGACATGAAGATTTCTACTAAAACTTGTAAAAGTTGCTGAAAATTCAATCAATTTCATGCTGACTCGATCTTTTTTCCAATCATCGATTTTCCACCCTCAATTTCAAAAACTTCCTTGAATACTCAACCAGTTGCCTGTATCTTTTACATACAATCATCATCTCCGCCATATCATTTCATGTTGCTACTTATTTTCTTTATGTATATTAAATCTATTGTATCATCTCCATTCTCATCCTACATCCTGCTGCCCTACATTCCATTTTAGCTATATCACATGCCAGTGAATCATTAAATGATGTTATAAATAGTCAAGATGAGCTTACACAATTTACAATGTGTTTTATACAATGTTGTCTAACGACTACTTCTATCTGGTCTAGTAATGACTATAGTTGTGTATGGAACGAAGGTCAATTATACAATGAATTATGGACAAAAAAAGATATAGAAAAACAAGAAGAAGCGAGGGAGAAGAAAATATTTGTTGATTGGTTTTTTATGGAGAGACTGGATGAGTTTAATTAGTAATAAAATTACAACAGTTTTTCTTATTCCAGGGTCAGATGACCTCAACGTACTATCCTTGTTTGCTGATGAACTTGTTGGGGAAAATTAAATTTTATTTGCAAAGTTTTGCAGTTTGCAGTAATGTTGAGATTTTATGGATGGGGAAAAAGTGGATTAAAATTTTATGGAGATAAATGGATGGCTTTAAAGTTATACAATTTGGTTTTGAAAGCTAGTGTGAAGGCACCTGAACTAAGCTTCCATATCCCTAATGTGAAGGCACATTAACAAGTACACAGAATTTTTGTGTAAAGTCACCTGAACTTAAGATAAAAACCGAATGTGAAGGCATCCGATTTTTTTTACAAAATACAAGTGTGAAGGCACATTTTTTAAAACACCAGTGTGAAGGCACCTGATTAAGACTTTAGAACTTTTGTAAAGGCATTTAATCAAAACTTGTACAACTTTAATGTGTAGGCACCTTAATCACAAACACTCTATGTAAAGGCACCTGAATTTAACCTCAAAAATAATATATGTGCTATTTAATACCATTTTAAAGGTCTACAACTTTTGTTCAGTTCTTGCCAATTGTCTTCCTAGATTCATAAATCTCCGCAATCCCCCTCCCCATCATTCTTATCTTAACCAGCAAAAAAAAACTAGTCATGTCATCGACTAGTTTTCTTACAATTTTTCTTCTTCATTACCTCAACAACCAAAGCTCACGCACAAAACCGATAGATTTACGGTTCACAAAAGGAAATAAAAGTTGGATTAGGAAGTAAAACGAAAGCTATTGATTTTCATGAGTCAGCAGAATACTCTTTTTTTGACATAAAACAAATCGGTCAGTCATGATTTATGCTTTATAAAATTTGTATCAGATTGAATGGGGAGAAAGACTTTCATGAGATTGTATGAAAAAAAGGGACTGCATCATGTTGTTTTTTTGTGTTGCTGTGAAAGATTTTATTTGGGAATTAAAGCGCGTGAAATTGCAGGAAAAAAATTTTGGGGGATTTTTTTATGGGAAGTGGATTAAAGAACGGAAGTTGATTTTTGTGGTGGATTTTTATGATTATTTAGAAAGTTTGAAAAAAGCAGATTTTATTAGGTTCAGGTAACTTCACATTGATGATTTGTGATTCAGATGCCTTCACATTGATGATTTGTGATTTAGGTGCCTTCACACTAAATATCTCAGGTAAAGATGCCTCACCGCTTGCATTTTTTTAATTCAGGTGCCTTTACATAAGAGTTTTCATATTCAGCTGCTTTCACACCAGCGATTTTTTGTAAAGATGCCTTAATGTTGGTATTTTTTAAATGCAGTTGCTATCACACAAATATTTTAAGCTTCTTCTGCCACTAATTCAAAGTTTTAACTTTCAAGTGCCTTCACAAAGGAGCTTTTACATTCAGGTGCATTCACACTAGTGTTTCCCAGATTTTAATTCATGTGTTTCTACAATGCCTACAAAATGTCAATCACTATTTCACAAGTTTTCAATCCATTTATCATAGAAACAATTTTTGATTGATAAATTACACAATCGACACAGCTGCTGTATCCAAATAACCTCCAATGAATAAATTCGGATCTCAATTTTTCTGATACTGACAAGTTCAAATTTCAAAAAGAAAATTATTATGAAAACTCATCAACATTCCCATTTTGTGTCTACATTTATCCTTATTGGATTGACATGTCTCCATGTCTCCTATTCTCATTATTTCGTGTGAAAAACGGAAGACGAGGAAAATTGAAAAGCTTCCTTTAATGATAAATTTTCAATATAAAGACTCGGAATTGGAGAAGCAACAGGTGTTCACTTAGTGATTTTACACAATAAACAGTCGCTTACTGCCAATGTAAATCTACAGTAACTTCAGTCTCTATGCAGTAATCCAGCACAGCTTACTTAACATTCACATAAATTTTGTATTTATCTTGTCATACTTTGTAACATTTATGGTGGTTTGAGGGAAGTGGAGCATGTGTCCATTGACATGGAAAATGAGATGGTTAAGAAGATTATTGTCATGTATCTGGATTATTATCTGGTATTTATATTGAAGTTGGGGAATATTTACAGTTTTCCTGGGTGAGATTTAAGTTAATTTTTATGAATTGAATAGCTTGCTTTGTTGGAAGTGATGATGATGATAAAAGTTGAGAGTGAATAATCTGAGATGAAAGGGAATTGGAGTTGAATTTGATGAAGTTTTGAACAAAACTAGTGTAAAGGCACCTGAACTAAGCAGGCTTCTCCGATCCTTAATGTGAAGGCACCTGAACTAGACCTTTTTATTCCTAAGAGTGAAGGCAACTGAATTAGATTTGGCAATACTGCATGTGAAGGCATCTGAATTATAACCTTAGCTATACTAAATGTGAAGGTACCTTTAGCATTTTGAAACTTCTGATCTAAGCTTTTTGCAATTCTTAGCGTAAAGGTACCAGAGTTAAGCACATGGTGTGAAGGCACCTGAACTACACATTTTTAATCCTTAATGTGCCGACACCTGAAGTTTTTCACTAAATAATGTGGAGGCACCTGAAGTACGCTCCTTTTAATCATTAATGAAAAGACACCTGAACTAAGCTTATTCCAATCCATAGTGTAAAGGCACCTGAGCTATGTATTTCCATTCCTTAATGTGAAGTCACCTGAACTAGACTCTTCAATCGTTAATGTAAAGACGCCTTAACTTGAATTCTTAATATCGAATGTTAAGACACTTTAACCAAAGACATAAGCATGCAGAGACAATGAAGCAAAGATTCATTCCCTTCCCTAATGTGAAGGCACCTGAACAATTAACCAAAAACTTACTAATCCCAAATTCATAATCATCTCCACTTATAACAAGCTAAAGACTTGTTCAATTGCATGTTTAAATTGCAAAATAATTGAAATGGAAATTCCTGCAATTATCCTCATTTCTACTCCTTTCTTTTTGTTAATACTCAAACTTTTTCTCATTCTTTTGATGCTTGCTAAATGCGAACACAATCGAAAAAAAAACTTTGTCATTTGCTCATCGTCTGCATCAGATGCAACAACTTTTATATGTCTTTTATGTCTTCTTGTTTTTTTCGTAATTATTTGGGATGAGGTGAACTGTTGAGAATGTATTGGGTGCAACTTAGGAGTAGGCTGAGGAAGTTATGTCTGAAAATTGAGTCTGAAGTGGAAAATGCCGATGGAATCTTGTAAACTTGAAGATGTTGCATGTTTAGGTGTCTTAAATCCAGTTTCATCTTGACTTAACCTCAAAATATGCTCAATAAAACCAATATTTATAACCAAACCATTAAAACTTAATCAATCAAGCCTTATAATGAGCACAGAGAGCTTTATCTTGACATTACAAGACTATAAATGCAAAAGTGCATTAAACTTAATAATGACAAAGAAAATAATTGTGCAGAACTTAGTGAATCATTATTGTGTTATGACAATGCTTTATGAGGCATTAGATTATAATGACAGAATGAATGAAAAGAAAATGTGAACTGACGATGACACAAGAATGACAATGCTAGACAATGCAATGCATCCATTATGGACTGTTCTACTTAAGCAGATTGAGATGTTTATTGTGTTGTGTATATGGATGCAAGTTAAAGATTTGTTTTTAACGATAATTGTGACTTGAAGCTTATGTAGTTTAAGTTTAGTTGATCGCAAGTTCCAATCAATGTCTTAAGATTCAATTTACTTAACTACGACTTAGTAATGATCCAAATAATTTAAACTCTATCTTAATCAACTGGCATAACTGCAAAAACAGTCACAATTACTCAACTAAGTTCAAAAAACCTCTTTTGAGAAATCCGTGCATCATATTCAGAAAAAAAGTTTAAAGTCGACCCCAAATATGACGCACAGCTTCTTCTTTGCTCCTTAACTGTAAATAAGAACTAAAACTTACAAAGAATTATAAAACTAACAGAAAATAACAAACAAGTCTACGAAAACAAGACAACTAATCCAAGAACATTCCTGTTTTTCCCCTGTTTACAAACATAACCTCCAACATTGTTTCAAATCCTCTTCAATATACAATGTTTTATTGCATATGACAAAAATAGACACTTTATACCTTAATGCGCTTAAAAATATCTTGTTTTGTTATTCCTCACAAGTTCATGCTGTTATACAACGAC